GAGCGCTTTCGTATTTATCAGTCGTGGAAGAAAGAGATGTTCCCTATCATCATCAAAAATAAATTTATTGTCTAAGTCCATGCACTTCTTCAGAGACAAGCTCTTGACATAGGGTGCTAGCTTGTCATAAGAAAGGTTATCCTGGGCGTCCAACTCCTCGGACTTTACTACGTAACATTTGGGCTTTTGCTCAAAATGTTTCCATTGCCACTCAAGAGGAAACTTCATCGTCAGTTTAGTCACTGTTCGGCCATCTTTGGCCTCCTCTGATTGGTCGTACATAAAGTCCACAGCCACATCTGAAAGAGGCTTCACGATGAAGTACCTATTCTTGAAGTTTCAGAAAGATTCTAGATCTGGTCGAAAGAGTTTCCTGAACTGCTTGAACGACTCCCAGGCCTGTAGTCCGTCGATCGTCTGTCATTGGAGATGGAAGATCCGGAAGAAAAGAGATAGAGTGGCACCAGCCTTAAGGTACTGAAAGACGAGCTCAAATACTCGCATGAACATAAGCGTGTTTGGGTGAAGCTGAGAAGGCGCCAGTTCTAACCATTTAAAAAACCCCACCTAGAAATATGTGAAGGGAAAATGCATACTTGCTTCCTTATTCATACATGGGGAAGCGTTTTCCCGGGAAAGACGAACATATCCTCCTATTCTTGTGAGGGATTTAGATCACCCAGGAGGCGGGGGCATCATCTGCTTTTTTCTCGACGACGTTGAATGCGTCAGAAGCATCATCTTCTTTTTCATATTAATTCTAAAAACTAATATAATAACCCTATAATTCTCTTTATGCCTTAATGGGCTTAAAACTCCTACACCCCCCTTCTACTACTTTTATTCTTTAAAACAAGCTCACATCAAATAATATTATCATTCTAATATTATTCCACAACTTAATAGAATAAATAAATCCAATAACAATAACACATCAACTATCATCATAACACAACTTCACAAATATTCCAAAAATAATTCAATTAAATAATTAATTAAATTACGGGCGTTACAGATACCCTCACGTGAGCATAAGAACGTGCGAGGACATTTCATCGACAGAGCTACTTGCCTGAATCCAAGATGACCCCGGCGCAAGTCCAAATGGAGATCACTAGAAATCCATGAATCTTCATCCGTATTTCATGAACCCATATGAAGTTCATGGACCTTCATCCCAGAATCCATGAATGTTCATCCATATTTCATAAACTTCATCTGGAAATCCATCCATTTATAGGAAGATTCAGGCGTTCAATCTAAGAACCTAAGAAAAACTACGTTTAAAGAAGAAATTGCTTACTTGGAGAAGATGAACAGTGAAGACGTCTACGGCGGTGATGAGGCAGCAGAACAACTTGTGAACGGAGGAAAAATAGGAGAAAAGAGAACTTGAAAATGACAAGCAAAAATCATGGCTCCCCTTTTTATAGCTAGTCCCTACCACACGGGGTAGCGTGCGAAGGGTCATTATTACTTGGACTCTTAGACTGTCCTAGGAAATGATGGCATTTTAAACAACTGCCACGTGGGACGTGCAAAAAGACGCACCACTGACAAGAGTTTCACGTGCGAAGCCACGCGCTTACACCGTTTTATCCTCCTTATCGAACACAGCGAGGACAAGAGCACGAGGAAACTCCCCGCTTCCCCGCGAATGCATATTCCAAACAAGCATCGCATTAAGACGAGCAGAAGACGAGTCGACCAAGGGAATTCTCCCAGAACAAGTCGACCATGCCACACACAATCTCAGAGTCCTCCTCGACCTAAATCACTGAGTCGTTTCTGACGGGATTTGACAGTTTCCCCTCTTGGATAACACTTCCCTGACATTTAAACTGATCTTAAGTCATCGCCCTTTCACCCAAGGGAAATAACATGGGGGCTCCTATTCTGGACTGGGCTGACACCTACCCCACTATTGGGGAGGCCTAGTCCAGCGCCTCTACAAAGGTCCAAATCCATGCAGCCTAGACCAATGACCGTTGGGAACTTCCCCACGTGTCCACTAAATAAACGTAACTTGTTAGTGTCCATAACTGCCATCAACTTGTCCTCTAAGAATAACGGTGTAAGTTCAGAGAACGCCTAAGAGGGGGTGAATTAGGTTCTTTAAAAGTTTTACCGATTTTTGTTAAACATATAAAGTATTTTTCTGTTTATGGTGGTGTTAGGAAATAGTAAAGTGCAGGAAGTAAAAAGACAGCGATACTGGTTCCCCTCACAGACCGAGAATACTCCAGTCCCCTTACACAAGTAAGAGATTTCACTATAGTTAGAATGATTGTACAGCCTATTCACACCAATGGTGATGCTTACTATCTAACCTATAGGGAGATCAAAGACTCTTAAAACGTTTAAGATCTAAACCACTAAGTGCAAGAAGGACAATCCTCTTCAATGCATAACTTGCTTCCAACAATCCTGGATAGCAAATATATAAATAAGTGTATTTGATTTTTACAAGAGTTTGGATGAAGGTGGATAATGAATCAATCACTTGATTGATCTTCTCTATCAAATATGAAAATCAGAAACAATTACTCTCTTTTGTGCTCAAGAAAACTTTCAATATGCAGTGAAATTATGTTCACAAATCTGAGTATAGAAAGATTCTTGTTAAAGTTTTGTAAAGAATTTTTCTAAATTTGAAAGAGGTTGTTTGATTTTGAAAAATCAGAAACATTTTATAGTGAAGTAATACCTTTTCAAAAATCATGGCAAAGGTTGGAGAGATTCTTAATAATTGAAAGTGAAAAGATACAAGTGTTGCCATGAAGAGATGTTTCTCAAAAGGTGCAGGAAAATACTGTTTTTTCAAAACCTGAGAGCATACAATCGATTGCAGTAATGATACAATCAATTGTATCATTTTAACGTTGTAAAAAATTGAAAATTTTAACTATGACAATCGATTGTCATATAGATGCAATCGATTGCATTAGCTACATAATCATTTTCTTCATGTTTTTCTAAGTGTACAATCGATTGAGGAAAATGTGCAATCGATTGCACTAGATCAAAAGTTTAAAAATTATTTTAAAAATATAGCACTTTAATTTTTCTCATTTTTTCACCAAAATCTTTATATGTATGATTAAAAATATTTGAGCACTAAGATTATAAAAGTTTAGATTTTCATATACCTATGTAAAAGTTGAAATCATGAGCTTGACTTAGATCTTTTGCTTTGAAATATCTTTGTCTTCAAGCTATTGAGAATTTTGTCGTCATCAAAACATATGTAGATCATTTGAAGAGCTTGACTTCACAAACGAGTCCAACTTTCTTATTTTCTCAGGGCAGTTGATCAGAGTGGAGGCCACGTGTTGGACTCCATACAACCGTAACCCTGACAGTCTTCATTATTGGGCCTTATCGTAGCCCAACACTAAAGACCTTGGCCCAGCGTTGGGGGTTATAAATTCTCTCTCACATGAGAGGGTCAGATATTCATTCATTCTCTCACTCTTACTATAGTACTTGCGCTCTGATTGCTCTCATTCTTATTTTGACATCGGAGTACCTTGCAAGTACACCCCCCTCCACTTCACTCAATAATTGTCGTTCAACTCAAGCTCGTGGGCCAGTGACGATTCCTTCTGATCATGTACGATCAGGTTTTAAGGCAAAAAACTCATTCGATCCAAAGATAAATTTATTTACGGTTCGACTTTGAATCATATATTAAAAAAATCGGATCTGATCTGATTCATCTTAATGCGGTTTAATTTAAATCGATTTTTAGATATTCAAATTACAAATTATATGTTTATTAATATTATAAAAGTATTAAAAAATCATAGATTTGATATAAGAAATTAATATTACAAAATAAGAATGAGGATTATGGTTGAAATAATAAAAATAAATAGATTAAATCAAGCTGATAAATATTATTGAAAAATTAATTATCATCTAATAACAAATTCACGTAATATATTATATTAATAAAAAATAAATAAGTAATACATTAAAAAATAAATAAGTAATATATTAAAATTAAATAAATAAGTAATTCACGTTTTTTGTTTGTCTAATACGGTATTTTAACGCCGGGTGCGACCTTAATTTGAGTTGGTCATAATTTTTTAGGTATGGGCCATAAAAAACTTAATTTTTTTAAGAGACAAAAAGAGACTACTACATTAAAAGTAAAACAGATTGTCTAAGGAATGCCAGCTTACAATTGACAAAGATCTCATCTCAGCCTCAAAACTCCAGCACCGAAAAATAACAACCCCTGCCCTCAAGTTAAATAGAACACCGGAATTGGAAAAATACAACATTACTACTACCAATAGGCTAAAACTGGAAGCTCTTCGCTGCAGAAACTACAACCTAAATAAATACACAATATGATCATTCTGAAATGATTAATATCCTGCACCTTACCATGCCTTAATAGACCTCCAAACCTATAACCAAGAGACTTGATAATGCTTAGCTGGTAATAGATTATTGAGGCAACTGGCATAAAGGAGCCTAGACAAAAAGCAGCATAGAAGGGCCACACCAATTTTGCAAGACCTCTTGATCAGAGATTACCAACAGTTGAATCCATATTTCTCAACAGCTCTAGCAAAACCAAGCCTGTCTTTCGACATCTTTATACAATAAACCTCAAAACTTTACTTACTTCCATATTCTGATAAAGGTTCATGGGGCCAAAAACCGAACAAACACACCCAATGATAAAGAAGGCAGTATTTCTATATTATTGACACATAGACAAACAAAAAACGTATGAACTTACCAAGAATGCATTGAAGCTAAAGATACTATTATATAGAATATAAGAAACTAATAAACCATAAAAAAGACAAACAAAATTGTATCACAATGGAATGACAATGTTTTAACAATTGCTCAGTAATGAGTTCAAAGAAGCAAAACACAATTAATATTAAAAAAAACTAATAAAAATGTGATTTACTATAATCACATGAAACTAAGATTCCTCCAAAAAGATCTTTCTCTCATCATGTGGTCCAAAATCAAGCCTTTGAGGCCTGCTTCTCTTTTGTCTTTTGAATTTTAAGGACCTTCTTCACGATTTTTTGCTCTTCAACCAAGAAAGCTCTAATGATCCTATAGAGGAGAGACAGATTTTATTAGATAACACGTGATTTAACCAAACATAATCTATAACAGATTATTAAAAATTAGCACACAAACCTTTCCCTAACAGCACCTCCCGACAGAACTCCCCCATATGCACGGTTCACAGTCCTACGGTTTCTAGACAACCTTGATCTCTTGTACTCAGTGGGCCTCAAGTGTGGAATCTGCATTTGTCAAGCATAAACTATAATAAATTTGGAAATTCAAATAATCATAGCAAATACAAATCAAAAAACATTGTATATCTCAAATAATGCAAAAACAGATCATTGAGGAAAATCATACTTAATAGAAAAAACATTTTTACATAAAGTATCATATATTCACCCTATGCATACAAAGCAAACATAATATGTTTAACATTTCTAATTATTCTATAACGAGTGCTCCAACATTCAAGTGAAATTTTCACTGTATGGTAAATAAAAGGTAGAGAACTGAACGCATATACAGATTATGACAATTTATTGTTTCATAAACTAAACTGCTGTGACAGAGTTTCTAGCACATAATACAAGTATGATTGAATATTACTGACTTCGTTGATTGATCTCTATTAAAAGATTACAATCAAAGCCAAAAATTAGTGTATAGATAAGTCATTACTAAAGATTTGAAATAAACATCATCAACATCATAGGTAGAAACTAGTTGTTAAGCAAACATCCACAACCACAATTAGAAGTTTGAAAGATAGGTAGCAAGAAAACTCAAACCAGCAAGAAAAATCAAACGCAGGGGAACAATCAGTCATAAGATTTGTTTAAGTTAGATAATCATGCTGATACAGCTAAATTACCAAAACAAAATGAACAATACAGACAATCTAATTTATAAAATGCATTATCCAATAATAAAAAAACAAAGCCTTAAACTTCAGGAATTCTTAGTAATGCTTTACACAAACCAATCCCCATTACTTTAATTTCACACAGCTCTATTAACACAATAATCTCACACCAGACCAGACAACTATCACATTTGTTTCATGTTTTATAAACTAAACTGGAGATGTCATTCACAATCTGATTCAGTTTCTAATAATACCTAATGTAAGTATGATTGAATAGCGTTGACAGCTTCAATTGATCTTTATCAAAGTTTGCATTCAAACAACAGACTTGTGTAGAGCTAAGTCATTATAAAATATTAGAAAACAACATCTTCAACATCATAATAAGCACCAACTAGTTGTTAACCAAGTATCCATATAACAAATTTAACAGTTATTACCATTATTCAGATTAGATCAAGATACTTCTACAGCTAACATACAAGTAAAAAATTGATCTAAATACAATCCAATCACATCCTTTAATTTCACATGGCTTCAGTAACACACGTTAATCTAACATCAAAATAAACAAGTATCATAACAACCAAAATCACAACCATGTAACTTTTCAAAATAAAGCACTTTCCAAATATTAAAAATTAGTTGAAAAAGAGGAATGAAATGCATACTCCTTGAATTCTCTTGCCAGTAACAGGGCACTTAGGTCCACTGGCCCTCTTCTTCGTGGTCTGATAAACAAGCTTACCACCTACATTTCAATACCACAAAATCAAAATCAATTCAAAGCAAAACGAAAGGGAATAAATCTGAGATTCGGAATCGAATAATGGAGAAAACGAGATTACCGGGGGTTTTGACAACCCTGTGCTGGTTAGATTTTGTTGCATAGCTGTGACGACGGCGGTAGGTGAGACGCTGCACCATCTTCGATCAAGCTCTGCCTCACCGTTTGGTTTACTAGGGTTTTCAGAGGAAGTGAATGATGCGCCGTAATGAAATATAAAAGAGAGCGATTCGATTTGATAATACCCTAGATCAAACGGTTCTAAATACACGCTCATTACCCACCATTGGATGTGTATATTATTTTATCATTTTATATTGGGGATTTTCATTTTGTTTCATTGGTTCAGTGTTGATGTTTAATTATTTTAATAATAGTAATTAAATTAATTATGAAAATATTTACCAATCATTTTAATAAATAAAAAATTACTCATAACGCTAATTCCACTAGTGAAAATAGATAAGGAGTGCAGTCACATTTTAATGATTTTTTAATAAATAAGATGTAGAATTATTGTACTTTTTAAAAAATTGTAATAGTGAGAACATGTGTCATGATTGAAACTGGAGTCAAGTCAAAAAACATAGTTGAAATATGTAGGTAGTTCTCTCTTAAGCATCTTGTCTCTTTATGTCTCATGTTTGGGATTGTGTACATCTCAAAAATTAAATGTGGGACAGATTCTTATCGGTGGTCGATGGCCAAACCAAACACAACCCATTTACAGGCCTTGAGCACGACAATAGTTGCTCTAGACGGAGTGTCAGAGTACATGCATTTAAGATTCATTATCACGTGATATTAATATATTTTAATATTGTCTCCTCGGTGCATTAGTTATAGAATGAATGGCAATGAATGTCCATTACGTGAATTAATGGCATTCAAAGTATTTGTCTCGGATCTAATAGTTGATAATCAGTAGAAAATTTTGTCATGGCAACAAGGTAAAGACATATTCAATTCTTACTAAGAAGTACTCATTGTTGCTTTTTCTGACCAGCATCAAATGAGTTATCTAATTAGTGTTCTTTATGTGAACATTTGGCGCCAATTGTGGGGCTCTGGTAAAACTTATTTGAACCACACAACAACATTTCAAACCATCGATTTCATACTTTATATACAATGAGAGCGAACAACAACAATCAAGGATCACAAGCTGTCGTGGATGAATTACTCGTCATGGTGAAAGACATGTGCCACCAAAATAAACTATTGCTAAAGAGCGTGCATGCCTTGTAGTAAAATCAATATCAGCTTCCACTAGAGAATGGAGACTTAGAAGATCTGATCGACCCACAACCACTTATAGTGGAAATTTAGGATAATTAAGTCCTAAATAATTTCAAGTTACCTTTGTTGGCCACTTTTGACGGGAAGAGTGATCCTCATATGCATATCATAACAGTCAACTCTCAGATGACCATCATTTGAGCTACTGACTCGTAGAAATGCAAGTTGATGACGAGTGATAACTCATTTTATGTAAGATATTTAATTCGTTTATACTTAAATTTTAGGGTAATCTATATATTGAGTAATGTCATTTATTTATGTTTAATGTTACTTTAGTTAATTTAGGATAAAGCACACTAGGTGCTCTTTTTTGTCAATTTTATGTGTTTTGTGCTTGTGCAAAATCATCTCTTGTGACGATTTATGTCACGCGAGGAATCTTTGAACACCATCCAGCAGACCTTGAGCTAGAAGATGCCAGTATGAGTTCTCAACTTCATTGTTAATGTTGATGTGACAAAAATTTGAGAAGAAAATATGGTTGAGTTGGAGATAATGAACGAATAAGGATGAAATACAGGACAAAGTCTGAAAATTTATCAAGGCATGCTCTTGTTATTGTACTACTGTTGTTGCAATGTTAACATAATGTAATATTGTCTCCCAAGTGCATTGTACTATCATAGTACATCACAAAGGAATATGTTTAATTTTTTGGGCTTAAGTTAATGGATAATTGTAAAGCTTAAGATCTAAATAGAGAAACAATATGCAAATGAGAAACCTCTATAAATAGGTATGCAATACAATGAAGAAAAATATTCTGAAATTTGGAAAAAAATTTCATAAGAGAAATTCAGGAATACAAAGAGTTGCGACACGACACCAGTCTCGTCAGACTGAAGAAAACAACGTAGGGAAGTGTGACAAAAGACGTCGCTTGTTGATTAACAAATTGTAAGTGGTTGAAGTGTCATTTTTAGGTTTATCATTTTTATCTTCTTGCTTAGGAATGTGTAACTTAAGATCTTTATGTGTCGTGCTTATTTTACTCGTTATGAGTTAAACTTGCTTTGTTGGATAATGTGAAGTAATAATCTTTTGTATGTTATGAATAAGTTGTTTTGATATATTTTGTTCATGTGAATTTATACCATATATTCATTCCTTTATCTGCCCAGCTTAGAAGTAGATAACATCTTGCTGAAATTGAGAGATATTTAACAAGTGGACTTGCTGACAAATGTGGTTGAAAGTAGTAGGCTAAACATATTCACTAGATTAGTCACTTTATAGATAAATGACTACAACCATAGGGAAATTAAAAGTTAAGATAGACATGCTTTAATGTTATTGTGAAACCAGAAGAGTTGTTCCCTTAACTTAATGCATATGCTTTAATGTTGTAAATATACACCACTATATCACTTTCTGCATTATTTGTCACGATAGAACATATGAGACTCATACATTTGATGAATTCATTAAATGAAACATTGTCCAACATATTCTTTCGCTTTATGTGAAACCTTATTTATCTTCTCTATTTTTTCAACTTTATGAACCACGTGACAGATACTGATCGTACCTGATCAGAAGAGATCGTCAAGGCCCACGAGCTTCAAGTTGAGTAGCAGTTAAATGTGAAGTGAGAGGGAGTACCTACAAGACACTCTGATGCCAAAATAAGGTTTAGAGTGAGAGCAAGTAAAGTAGGTAAGGTAAAATGAATGAATGAATGAATGAATGGATACCCGACCCTCTCGTGTGAGAGGGTATTTATATCCCTCGGCGATGGGCCAAGATCCATGTAGTAGACCAAGTGATTTGGGCCCAACAAGAAGGACTGTCAGGCTTTGCGTAGGTAATAGGGTCCAGCACGTGGCCCCTCCCTACTAAAGCACCTCGAGAATATAGGGATAGTGGACCCGTTATTCTCAAAGGACAGGTGGTGGTTGATGATGACTAGGAACACGTTCTCTAATGGGCACGTGGGGGAAATCCCTAACGACTATCTGACTTGGGCCTAAAGTTATTAGGCTATAGGCATAGGCACTGGACTAGCCCTCCCCAACGGTGGGGCAAGTGCCGATCCATACCAGAATAAGAACCCCCCAAGTTATTGCCCTTAAGCGAAAGGGTGATGACTTGAGATCAGTTCGAGTGCGGGGGAGTTGTTGTCCGATAAGGGAAACTGTAAACTCCCGTCGAGGACGGCTCTATGTTTCATGTCGAGGATTCAGAGGTGTGATCGATTTGTTTGGGGAGAGTTCCCTTGGTCGACTTCGTCTCTTGCTCGTATCACTGTAGTGCCTGTTGGGATCTACGTTTGTGGGGAAGCGGGGAGTTTCCTTGTGCTCGCATCGTCGATGTCCTGCAAGTAAAGCGCCACAATGATGTCGAGCTTTTGTCTGACAATGAGGATGAGATGGCATAAGTGTGTGGCTTTGCGTGTGAGAATGTTTTCAATGACGTGTCCCTTCACGATGCCCATGTGGCAGCTGTTTGGGATGTCATCATTGCCTAGGGCAGTCTAAGAGTCCAAGTAATGATGATTTTTTGCATGGTACCCCGTGTGGTGGAGATTGTCTATAAAAAGGGGTGAAGGAATTCTCTTGAACATTTTCACTTTCTCTCTCCTTCTGCACCTCCTCTGGTCGCAAGCTGCTTCATCGTTGTTGCCACCATCGTAGGTTTTCCAACATTCGTTTGTCTCCAAGTAAGTGATTTTATTCAAGCTTTGTTAGTTTACTTTAGGGTAGATGATTGGATGAAGTTTTTTGGTGAATTCACGAGTTTTTGGTGAAGTTTTATGAATCCTCATGAATTTTCCGATGAAGTTCATGAAGATTCATGACACTTTCAGTGAAGTTCATGAAGATTCATGACACATTCGATGAAGTTCGTGGACTGTGGATGAAGATCCATGAGTTTCGTATGAAGGTTCCTGAGTTTTGGATGAACTTCATGTGGATCTATGTCAGGGATTGGCCCCCCGTGAATTAGGTAGATACGGGAAAAACAGCTTCATATTAGGGATTAACCCCTCGTGAACTTAGGTAGATATGGGTGAGCCGCCTCTCCTTATGATCTTATGCTCGCTCGAGGGGGTTACTTCCTTCGTGGGTTTCAAGGGCTTGAGTCGAGGACCTCTCCTCGAAGTGTTCCTCGCCCTTTCACTTAATTTGCAGTGGAAGGGTGGATTTGATATTGTTGAATTCACTATTTTCCCCTGCTTTTCAAGTTAAATGGCTCAACCGATCAGGGAAGTGAATTTTCCCGATCCTCGGGGTGAAGAAAATGTCAACGCAAGCAACAATGCAAATATGGGCAACAATTTCGACTGTATTGCACCTGAGCCCAGAAATCTGATGTCCAAATTCGTCCACGATGCTTCATATGCCTTCAATGTTATCGAGGACTGGGTCGAGGGTGTTCATACCTCTTGGTCAATTCTCATTTTGTATAAGAACCTGAGGATTTGTTCGGCCTACCCGAGAAAACGCTTTCTAATGTACGAGTTCACTTTCAAGGAGGCAGGAATGCGCTTGCCCTTTACAGCCTTCCAAGTTGGAGTTTTCAGATGGCTGCACTTGGCACCTTCCCAACTTCACTCAAACGCGCTCGTGTTCATGCGGGCATTTGAGATCGTATGAAGGTATCTTAATATTAATGCTTCTTTACCTCTATTTTTTGAATTTTCCACCTTCAGCAGTAAACGGTCTGGGGTCTCCAGGCATGGGTGTCGTTCAAGAAACACGAAAAGTTATTTCGATCGTATCTGGAGTCTGTCTGGAATTTCAAGGAAAGGTTTTACATCGTGAAGCCACTGTAAGACGCGGTCGTGGATTCCCTGTATGAGCGTACCTTCAAGATCAAGGGTGGTCGAGAGGTGACT